GGGGGGGGGGGGGGGACCCCCGGGCCACCCCCCCCCTGACTGGCTGTCCCCCAGGTGTGCCACCACCATGGCAGCCCCACCGACCCCGAGGAGCGGGACTGGGCACCGCCGGGTGCCCCTCACCCTGATGTCACCCTCCTGAGCACCTTCATCAGCAACTACTTGCCTGGACTGGAGCCCCAGCCAGCTGTGATGGAGACCTGTCTATACACGGTGAGAACTTCCCCAGGAGCGGGACCTCCACCCCCACCCCAAGGTGGACCTTGCTATCCCTTCCCACCTCCCCCCAAGAGGACCCTGAACCCCCTACCTTCACACCACGGCTCCTCCAGAACACCCCGGATGAAGACTTCATCCTGGACCGGCACCCTGAGTTCAGCAACATCATCATTGGGGCTGGTTTCTCAGGTAGGTGAAGACATCCGGCCCCCCGGCCCCCGTGGGGGTGGCTGTGCCCCTCACACCTCCTTCTCCTTTCCGCAGGGCACGGGTTCAAGCTGTCACCGGTGGTGGGGAAGCTGCTGTGCGAGCTGAGCCTGGGTGAGGAGCCGTCCCACAGCATGGCCCCCTTCGCCATCTCCCGCTTCCTCCGGGCTGCACTGTAGGTGGGGCCTGGCCCTGCCCTCGCAGCACCGGGCTGGCCTGCAGCAGTACCCCTGCATCCCGGTGCCCTTGCACCCCAGTGTGTCAGCATCCCTGCATCCCCTCATGTCACCATCTCTATCTCCCTGCACCCAGCATCCCAGCACCCCTCCATCTGTGTACCCCAGCACTTTGACAGCCCAGCACCCCTACATTCCAGCACCCCTGCATCCCTACACCCCAGCATCCCAGTACCCCTCCATCCCTTCATGTCCATATCCCAGCACTTTGACAGCCCAGCATCCCAGCACACCTGCATCCCCATATCGCTGCATCCCAGCATCCTGGTACCCTGCCTCCCCACATCCCAGCAGCCCCTTATCCCTGCATCCCGGCATCCCCCCTGCTGCGGTGCCAAGCCGTCTCTACCGAGCACCCGCTCCCTGGAAACAAATTAAGGAGCTTTGTCAGCCTCATGAAGATGGAGCTGGAACAGTGCGGAGAGACACACTCGCTTAGGAGTCAAGTTAAATGTTTTAATGTTAAATGTGCCATTTTATTATCATTAGATCGCTCCCACTTAATGAAAGCGCATTAGCGCAGCGTGGCTTTATGGCAGCGAGTGCCGAGCTTGGCCCATCCATTTCCAAGAGATGGTGGGGAAAGAGATCAACTGCCCTGGTTTGCCAGGGTCCTGGGGGGACGCAGGGGTCCCTGGGGCTGGGAGGGGGGCAGTGGGTAGCACCTGGCATGGATTGGGGGGGTGCCAGAGCCGAGGCCAAGGCACATGCCGTGCAGGCGGCCGGCCATGCACATCATCATCTCCAGCATGTTAAATAATTAATGCCGGCAGGCAGAGGGCTCCCATCCCCGCTGCTCATCTGCATATTTATGAAGATTGATAAATGATTCAGTGCTGGCACCCACAAGGGCCATCGTCCCCCTCCCCATCACCCATGGGTGCAGGGGGCCTTGGGGAAGGTACCAGACTTGGCCTCACTATGCAGCCTTGGATTGTCTCCAGGGCTGGATCCATCCCCCCAGCCCTGCCATCATGCAAACACCCCCCTAGAATGGGGTGACCCCCCGGTTTGCAGAGTAGGCAGCCG